GAAATAGGTATATTAAAACCAAAAGCTCTAAATACTCAAAATTAATCACTTGTTAATTATTTTTCTGCATGTTTGCGTTCAGTGCCATTGGGGTAATGTTGTTGTATCTGCCTGGAGGAAACACTCATGGTGGCTGGTGAGCACCTCTCTCCTTTCTCTGTATCCAGTGGTATCACATTGGCAAGCTGAAGTCAGCCCTGGTGGTGGTATTTACACCCCAGGAACTGACAAATATGAGACGAGAGCCTTTCTTTTTCCAGGGGTAGAAGCAAGTAACCAACTGTCAAACATTTACTAGCACACCTGAACTACTGGTATGGATAACCCAAACAAACCAACCTCTGGTCTATAGGCAACCATGTCCCCTGACGGGGGAACCCCTACTTTCAAAGGTCAGTTTCTTTCTTTATTGTGAAAGTTTTATTTTTTTGTCTTAACCGTGGCAACGGTTAACCAAACCATTCCATTTATTACTAGTTTTGTGTTAAATTCAGATATAGGATTTTCCTTAATATGTTTTACAAAAATTTCTGAATATGCAGCAAATTTGAAAGAATTTTATAAAGAGTACCTGTATATCCACACTCATTTTCTACCATGAAACTTTACCTGACATCATTACATTTCACCTTCTATTCATCCCTCATATACAGATTTTTTAAATTACTTGCCAATGTAATGGGTATTACTACTTAGAGAACATGGTGTATTAGAGGATCCAATTATTCAGTATTATTGTTCTGATTTGAAACATCTCAATAAGTACTTGATTTTAGACTTAAGTTGGAAACAATGAAAACTATTGAGATATTTAAGAAAATTTAAGACTCATCATTTAACCTTGGCGTATTCAATGAATTAGAGTTATTTAAGAGTGAAGAAAGATGTGTTTGTTATAATCAATATTTAATATACTTAAAACATTTCAAAGTATTTCATACGTACAAATGCAGTTAAAATTTTAGAGCATTTAAATAACTAGTGTTTAAGTGTCAACAAAAATAAAAGATCTCCTTAAAAGTATTAAAACTTGATTGATTTATAAATAAAATAATAAAGTACATAAGTTGACCTTAATAATGTCACAGAAAACTAAGTTTCTGATTTTTGAAAGTCAAATGAAATATTACATTAAAAAAAAAAAAAACAGGCTGGGATTGTGGCTCAGCAGTAGAGCGCTCACCTAACATGTGCTGAGGCCCTGTGTTCGATCCTCAGCACCACATAAAAATAAATAAAATAAAGGTATTGTGTCCAGTTTCAACTAAAAAATAAATATTAAAAAACAAACTAACAAGCAGACAGAGCAGAGAAGCCACTATAATAGACAACAAAAACAGAGGTTGACAGACTGTTTAAAAAGTTGGACACCAGTCTGTGGTTTTATTGGGAGGTGGTAGAACCTTTAAGAGGTGGGGCCTAATGGGAGGAAATTAGGTCACTGAGGCTGTGCCCTTGAAGGAGATACTGGGACCCCAGCCCCCACCGCGTCCCTCTCTCTTTTCTTCCCTGCTGCCACGAGGTGAGCAGTTTCTTTCACCATGTGCTCCTGACATTATATGTTGGACCACCATGGGCCAAAAGCAATGAGGCCAAGCAACATGGACTGAAATCTCTCAGTCAAAATAAATCTTTCCTCTTTATAAGTTGATCACCTCGGGTGTTTGTTATAGTAACAGAAAGCTGACTTATAGTTTAGATGTGATTTGTCCCCCAAAAGCTCATGCGTGAGACAATGCAAGAAATGATTGGGTTATGAGATCCTTAACCCAATCTGAATTAATCCCTTGATAGGGATTAACTAAGTGGTAACTGAGGGCAGGTACAATGTGGCTTTCTCTCTTCCTCTCTCTCCTTCATGGTGTGATGTCTTGAGCCGCTTTTCTCCACCATACTCTTCTGCCATGATGTTCAACTTCACCTCAAACCCCAAGGAATGGAGCCGGCTATCTGTGGACTGAGGTCTCAGAAACCATGAGCCCCCAAAATAAACTTTTCCTCCTCTAAGTTTTTTGTGTCAGGTCTTTTGGTCACAGCAGTGAAAAACACTGACTAAAATGCTAACAAACAAGCCATACAAAGAGGACATTACCAGCCCCGTCTCATTCATGATTGGAGAGAGGCTTAGTGGCTTGGGTCACACAGATAGTTTTTCTAGAACTGAACTCTTTGCTTTTCCCTGTCCCCAAACTTTAAACTATTAAAATACCTGTAGTGTTTGATGGGAGAACATTCAAATGATTTTTAAAACCTACAAAAATTTCAAAATCCAATTAAATGATGAAAAAAGTCACAACTTAAGGGATAGGGGAGAAGAGTGCTTTGCAGCTCAAGTTAGGATAAACAATAAGGTAGAACCCAGGAGAAATTGAAGGCAAGGCCCCTCTCTTGCTATGCCTTCTATCTCAATGAGGGGCATTTCAGGGCTGGGGTTGTGGCTCAGTGGTAGAGTGCTCGCCTACTATGCGTGAGGCACTGGGTTCGATCCTCAGCACCACATAAAAATAAAATAAAGATATTGTGTCCACCTATAACTAAAAAGTAAATATTAAAAAAAATTAAAAATGAGAGGCATTTCAAATCCCCCCATACATCCAAGTCAGACACCTGAGATCTCAGTGCCCCTGAGGAGAGCTGGGGAAGTCATTCCAAGTACAGGGAAGAGCAAATGGAAAGTCTAGGACCAACCCTGGAAGACTCACTTCACTCAGGATTTCGCATCACACACTGGTAGTGGGAGTCCATCTGCTCTTTGACCCTGTCTATGTTTTCCCTTCTGTCAAGAATATGCTCGTTCTCATCCTTCCCACAGCCATCTCCTTCCTTCCCACCCTTCAGGGCTCAGGTTGGCCAGCCTTCCTTGTCCCCAGTGTATATCAGTGTCCCCCTCTTCTGTATGCCTGGGCATCCCCTTCTTCTGTACCAGCCGTTATGGGGCCTCTCTGCCCCCTAAGACTCTCAGCTCTTTGAAATCAGTATCTGCATTTCAGCCACTGTTTATTCCTAGTGCAAAACCCGAGCACACAGTGGGTCCTCAACTCATGTTTATGTCTGGTCTATTTGAAAGAGACAAGAATGTGGCCCAATCCTCAAGAATATCAGAAATAATAAATGCTGGCGAGGATGTGGGGGAGAATCCTTTCCTTGCTTATACACTGTTGGTAGGACTACAAACTAGGATAACCACTTTGGAAAGCATTAGGGAGATTCCTCAAAAGCCTAGGAACGGAACCACTATAGGCCTCAGCTATTCCACTCTTTGGAACTGGAATCAGCAGACTATACGACAGTGACACACACATGCCAATATTTATAGGAGCACAATTCACAATAAACAAGTTATGGAAACAGCCAAGGTGTCTGTCACAGATGAATGGAAAAAAAGAAAATGTGGCCTGTATACACAATGGAGTTCTACTCAGCCATGGCAAAGATGAAATGAAATCATGTCATTTGCTGGTAAAGGGACGGAACTGGAGAACATCAGGCTAAATGAAATAAGCCAGACTCCGAAAGTCAAGAGTCGAATGTTTTCTCTCATGTGCAGAAGCTAGACAGAAATAAGGAATTTAAAGGGGGCGATCTTATGAAAAGAGAAGGGAGAACAGTAGTGCCCAGGAAGGGGACAGAGGGAGAGGGAGGGAAGGAGGGCAGGGGACTGGCCTAATTATGCTAAGTGCATGTGAGAAGATATCACAATGGATCCCACTTTGCTGTGTCAAGTATAAAGCACCAATTTTAGGAAATAAATAAATAGTAGGAAGACCAGTTGAATAGAGAAGGGGGGACAGGAGGGTAAGAGGAAGTACTGCGTATGAAATGGAACAAGTTATGCTATGTGCCTATATGAAAATGTCACATGAACCCACTATGATGTATAAATGCAATGCACTGCGAATTTTTTAAAATTGGACCCTAGGCATCCTCCTCCTCTCTTCCATGTGCTCCCTTGCATTGGGACTTGAAGGAAGGTGGACAGGATTTGGACAAACAGGAGATCTTTAGGGAGAAAGGCAGGAGCCCAAAACCAGAAAGTAGAGAAGAGCTGGGCCTGAGGAGACTCCAGAACAGGATCCTGCAAAGAGAGCACACAGAGAGATGTCTGAAGCTCGGATTCGTTCGTTCCTCTGGCTTTTACTGAGCTGCCAGGATGATTTGCTGAGCAGTTACCACCCTGGATCCCGGTGGTAGGGCAGTAACTCCTACTTAGAGCTTGCTGACTTCATGTCAGATTTACTCCTCTGAACTTTATGTCTCTTAATGCTCTAAATCCTCACAACCATTGCAGGCAGCAAACGCAGTCGCCATAGGATGGGCAAGGTAGCAGAGGCACAGAAAGGTGAAGTGACTGGTGCCAGGTTTACAGCCTGAAGTGACGCCCAGATATGAAGTGCCTGGCTATGCCGTTGGGCTCTCGGACCCCAGGCACTGCTACTCTCATCTGCATTCTGATGAGAGGACTGGATAACAAACAAGCAAACAGGAGAATTTCAGGGCATGACCAACGCAATATAGGAATCCCACCAGGGATGTGGTGGAAATGTGGTTCAGTGGTAGAGCACTTGCCTAGCATGTGGAGGGGCCTGGGTTTAACCCTCTCTGTGTGCACACACACACACATACACACACAAATGGCAGAAAGTGACCATGGAAGGTCTGGATTGGGTAGTCATGGACGACTTCTTTCTGAAGGAGAGAACTAAACTAGAATCTGAAGGATGAGAAGGAGCCAAACACAGGAGAGCTGGGGGAGATGATCCAAGCACAGGGAGTGGCAAGTACAAAGGCTAGGACCCACTTCCCTTGGGATTTCATGTTTCACCTTATTAATGGGAGAAATTCCATGGCGGGTGCTGCTTTGCGGGGTAGCGGACCTTCCCTTGCCAGGTTGGAGTGAGACAATCTGTTGGAAGGCCCTTTCTGTGGCCCCTACAGCTGAGTGCCCCAGAGGAGGGTGGTTTGGGCCTTGGGCACCTTATCACCAAGCCGGACAGACTCACGTTTTGTTTGAAGCTGTGGTTCTCGGAGCATTCGGAGTCATCCTGCCAAATATCTGTGGTGTTCACTAGGGTCTGCCAAGTTCCCCGAGCCAAGCAGTGTCTGTAGGCTCTTCCTGAGCTCTCTGAAAGTAAACAAAGCTCTAGAGGAAAGGTCAGAACACACAGCCCATTCCCTGAGCACGCTGGAAGGCCCTCACCCTGGCCACAGAGCTGTGGAAAATCCCAGGGAAAGGGATTTTTTTTTTTGTTTCCCCCTTTGGGGGCTCATTAGCATCCTTACTGTTTATTTGGGACAGAAAGAAAAACATGAAAGCCTCTTGATTTCGTAACAAACCATGATCCACTAATGTCTGCTGTGTTTACCCGAAGTCTCCGGAGTTAGAACAGTCCCTGGTGACTCAGAGATGTGATAACCCCTGGAAGGTACAGCCCAGCTGGGAGACACCGACCTGGGCTCCTGCACTTGCTCAGTGGTGCATCGCTTCCTGATACCCAAGAAGAGCATGCAATGGGCATGAGGCGGACAAATTGGAGCTGAAGCTTGATGTGTCACCTAATGAGTGGGTGTCCTGGGCTCAGCCCTCCCTCTCTGTGCCTGCAGGTTTCTTCAACAAGAACTAGAACCATCATGATGCCACCCTCTGGATCTTGAAGGAGGATTAAAGGAGTGTGTGTGTGTGTGTGTGTGTGTGTGTGTGTGCAGATGATGGGCAAATTGTTCTGTCCACGCTGAGTGCTGTGGTAACTTAGTCACATCTACTCCAGGAGCACCTCCTGAAGCTACTACTACCTGGAGGGCCAGGATCTGGACTTGCAAAATGAGAAGTGGAAATCTGCTGGATTTTCCTAGACCAGACCCTGCACATCACAGTCCAGCAGTAGCTATTTTCTGCATTTAATCATTGGGTACCCACATAGTACGTCCACCTGCCCAGGCGACAGTTTTGCTAGGGTGTCTAAGTGACATCTCAAACAATAGGCCCCAAACCAAGTTCTTCATCTTCTCAAAACCTAATCCCCCTACACTCTTTCCCACCTTGCTAGATGGCAAACCCAGCCTGCCAGTCCTCTGGCTCCAAGCCTTGGTGTCAATCTTGCTTTCTGTCTCCTGTAGCTAATCATCTATACTTTCAAATATATCCAGAATCTGACCACTGCTTTTTACTGTGTCCTTCTCTCCTAAGTGGAACCATCATCTCCCCTGGAAAGATGTCTCCTCTGACAATTCTGCCCCTCATATCTATGGATAAGATGTCAATCAACAACCTGGATAAGATGTCCGTGGCATCATGCCAATATCTACTCACTATCTTCCAAGGACTTGAGAACGCATCAGAATCTTTTCATGGCCCCTACAAAGCCTTGTCAGACCGGACCCCCAAATCTCTCTGCCCTAACTTCTTATTGCTTTTCTTCCCCTTCCACTCAAACCACATTTGTCTCCTTCTCTTTTTGAAACAGACCACCCATGCTCTCCACCAAGGGCTTTGGCACCTGGAAACACTTCCACTATTGGCTAAAACCTTTACCTCCTTTAAGTCTTCACCGAGACAGCTTGTCATTGAACCTTCCCTGACTACCCAACTTACAATCACCACCCACTCCTCCCCTCCATTCCTTCCCCCAGCTCTAACTTGTGTAAAATGTATCACATCTATACTTACCAATGATGCTCACTGATTTTTGTCTGTCTGTCTTGCTAAAACATGAGTCCAACAGGAGAAGAATTTTATTCTGTTTTGATCATTACTATATCCCAGGTGTTTATAAATAATGCCTGGCATACAATAGATGCTAAATAAATATTTGTTGAATGAGTGAATGACAATAGTTCCCTTGACACTTGTGTTCTTCATGCCAATCATAACACTCTATGCTGTGCCTGCTAGGATGAACCTGGCAAACTCAAAGTCTAGGCAGGAGATTGCGAATAAAAAGCGCCATCCGCCATCATAAATTCTGGCAGAGACGGCACAGGTTAGAGAAGAAGCCTCAGGAAAGCAGAGGGCCATTGCACTATGGAGAGAATTGCTGGAAGAATTTTCTAGAAGGATGAAAGATTTAATAAGGTGAGGATTAAAGTTGAATTTATTGATGTGGGCAGAACATTTGAGGGGGCATCCTGCGCAGAAGAGTGAACAAAGGCACTGGGTGCCGACCGCTGGGAATTGTTTGGCTGGAGTGGCAGGAAAATGGCAGAGGAAGGGGGGAGAATGATGGACAGATCAGCAAGGCCAAGCTACAGGTCAGAGATGCCATTTATAGGTGTTGTAAAGGGAACCAACATAACCTTCTGATTGGCATTTTTAAAATCCTTGTGCAGGGTGGTTGGAAGGGGTCAGATCTGAGGCAGGGGATGAGGAGATTGGGAAGCCACACAGACAGTGCTGCTGAGCTCCACCAAGGTACCAACAGAGGGGCATGGGAGGGAGGGGAGCCAAAGGACCAGCTACCGTGGAGCCCACTCCTGGGTTGGAGAATTATTTTCCTCTCCTCTATTTCCCACTTCTCTCTCTCCCTCATTTTCTACACCATCTGATAAAAAGTCTCAACTGTTCTGCCTCCAATGTTTTTCTTTGATCTTCCCCCTTCTCCCCAACTTCTCATCTCTGCCTGATCCCTTTGCCTGGACCACTGTAGTAGCTTCCAGATGCACCTCCCTCCCCACCGACCCCACTCCCCAGTGCAACAGCTACATGCTGTCAATGTTGTCCTCCGTAACTACCAATCTTGTGTGTCCTTCTTATGCCTTATCACGTTCTGGGGCTCCACATACTCTTCCCCTACAGAGGAAAGTGGAAAACCCCTCATGGAATACACTATTTCTTTCACAGTCAGTCCCCAGCCTCACTGATCAGTTGTAGAGGCCAAGAAAACCTGTATTTATTATCTCACTCTCTTCCATCTTGAATCATGAAGCTCATTCCTTTAAAGAATGCTTCTGCATCCCTTTACATTTGTAGAGGTTCTTCTCCAAACCCTTCTATCGTCTTCACGTGCCCGTTTTACTTTAGGAACCCGTGTGGTTTCTAAAGTTTTAATGAGAAAAATACTTTAGGAATCGACTTGGATTCCAAAGACCTAATTGAGTGGGAGAGTCACTTCCCATATTTTGCAAATCTCACTGCCTTTAGTGCATTCCAGAAGCCCAGAACTTACTTCTTAAAAAGAACCTTTAATTCAATTTTCTTGTAAACGTGGAGTTTGGATTCCTGCTTTATCCTAAAGCTTCTGAGAAGGAACAGATGGTGAAGCTGGGAGGTGGTGGTCATTCTCTGCACCCCTGAGGAATGTGTGGACGTTTGGAAGCTGAAAGACCGTGAAGGAATCCAAGGGCCTCCATCTTTGATTCAGCTTTAGCTCCACTTACAGAGCACCTGCTAGATGGCCAATTCTGGGTGTTCCTTCTCATTTGTTCCTCAAAGTAATCTAAAAAGTTAGCTATCCCTCTCTTTCCGGACAAGGAAACCACCGTTGAGCGGGCTCCAGGAACTTGTCCAGTCTCAAGAGTATAAAAGAGAGGGATTGAGTCTTAACTTCAGAGTCTGACTCTGCATCATTGAGTTCCTTCCACCTCACTAAGCTGTCTCTCATGGGAACTGTTTGCCTAAACCATCCAGACCCCTCTGTCTATCCAGTTCTCTAGTACCTTCTCTCCCAGCCTCCCTGAAAAGCTCACAGCCTCATGCCTCCTGGACTGATTCCAACTGGATTTCATCAGAGAACAGCTCCATAAAATATGTCAGTAACTCTCTCACCCAGAAGTGCATCTTCCTTTTAGGCTGTGTGTGCGTGCATACATGCACACACACATGCATGAACATGCATGTGCACTCACTAGAGGCCTCAAAATATTAAAACCAAAGAACCACGGAGGTGATTCTCTATTGAACTGACATTTCTCAGAGGCTCACTCTCACCTTCTTTTACCTGGAGCTTCATAACTGCATAGTTATGCAGTTAGTTTTAGTTGTCCTTATATTTGTGCATTGCCTTTGGTCATAGGTAACAGAATTCTAACGAGTAATGGCTTCCAGAATAAAATGACCAAGATGTTGGGCTTCTTGGGCAGGGATGGTTTCCTGAGTAATATTTACTTCCTTTAAACAGGATTGGGGTCAGCTAAGTGGTTAAGTGCTCACTCAAATCCCATGGCACTTGAAAGTGCCAATTCAATGGTACTTCCATCGAAAGCTGATGCAAGGGAAGGTTTAAGTCCTGCCTCTGCCTGCTCTCCATGACACTGACCATTCTTAACCTGGAGTGCAGTCAGATTCTGTGGGAGCCAGGTCTGGACTCTGTCATTTATGAAGTCAAGGGAGCTGCTGTATAAATGAAACACCCAAGAATAGTAGAATTTCAGCAAACAAGAGGAGAAGAAGAATGATATATTACCAAAAGCTTAGAAGAACACCTTTGGGGCGTGGGGAAAGGACTTAGGAAAAGTAGTTGGCTGGAGCCTCCTCTCTAATTAGCATCTGATGAGTTTATCCAGGAGGGACTAGCCTTGAAAGAAATTGTCAGAAAGTAGTAAGTTAGGCTTATTACCTTCATTCCACCAAGGTAGGTATGATGGGCAGGGAACGGAGACATTTCCAGGAGAAGAATGAGGCCAGCACACATACTGATCAAAGGTTCCATTACAAAATATGCCTAGGGAGAGAAGAACGAACATCAATATTTGAGCACAGGGCCTCTTATAGAAGCAGAAGGGGCCTGGATCCTAAAGCCCACCTTGCTACTGAAAGAAGCTATGTGGGCCTCCCTCTCTAGATATGTAAAAGATGAAGAATGATTTGGGCAGCAGAGGAATGCAGCCCCAAACGTGGTGCCTTTATCTACTCAGTTTAACCCTAGTCAGTTAATGTAATGTCCATGTCATGCTAATTTTGCTTTATGTGAACCAAACTCTCGCAGAAACTCTGGGTCAGAAGGACACTTGGAGATCCAGCCAAAAAGCCTTATGTTCCATAATTAATTTGATTAAATAATTGTCAAACCTTCACCAATTAGATCCCAGGACACACCTACGATGAAATATGCAAAATAACAAGCTGATTTAAGGACATCTGTGGGATCTAGGTTCCTGGTCACATACTCATAAAATGACACAAATTCAATCTATAACAATTCAGTTGACAAATTACTCATGATTGAAGACTAGGCAGTAATTGTAGCAGATAGCTTTCGTCAAAGAGGGCTGCATCCATACACATCCCATGTCATGTTACTTTATAGTGAGAAGTGGGTTTATGGTCATTCTCCTTGAGCCTGGGGAGAACTTTGTAACTGTCTCATCCAACTGAGCTTGGCAGAAGTGATGTTGTGTGACTTCTGAAGCCAGGTCATACAAAGTGATATGGGCTGTCATTAGGCTAGCCCTTAGGAACCCAGCCATCTGCTGTAAGGAATCCCAATCCATGTGGACAGGCCATGCACATGGGCTACCAGTTGCCACTTGACTTTCAGCTGAGAACCAGCATCAGCCAGTGGACATGGGAGGAGGCTTTGGGTGATTCCGGCTCCCGAGTTTTGAGTCTCTCAGCTGAACCCCAGACATGGCTGAGCAGAAACCTGTCAGGCCCACTGTGTCCTGTCTGCATTCCTGATCCACAGGAACATTGAGAGACACATGATTATTACTATTTTAAGCCACTAAGCTTTGGGGCAACTTGTTACACAGCCACAGATAACTAATACATGTGCTTACCAGAAGGTTTCTTAAGTAAGTCTTTTAGACACTTCTCTTTGTACTGAGCCCACTTCCGAGTTGTCTCCTCAAGGAGAGATCCTGTGGCCTGAGCAGACAAAAACAAGGTAACTCCCAGTTAGCTGCAAGCTCAGATGTAACCCTGTTATTTCACACCGCAATTCTCAAACCTTCCCACTGGCGAAATGCCCACAAGATGGTGTCCCAAGGAGACTTGGAGTGAAGGTCCAAACAGATATCTCACCTGGGACCTGGACACGACACATGGAATCACGTGTTTGGTTGGCAGGATGAAGCCAACCAAAAGGTTCTTTGTTGCTTGGGGCACAAACAACAACCAATCTAAGCCAGCCCAGGCCACACACAGTGACAACTAATTCCAGTAACCATGGTAACCCCTCCCTGGAGCACAGACTAGACAGCACCAAAACATGGACATATGTCACTGGGTGCAGCAAAGGTTCAACCAGAACTGCTAGTAACTGGACATATGAAACACAAAAGACCTCAGGCAAAATTTTGGACTGTGGAGAACCCAGAAGAGTTCTCCAGCCACATGGCCAAGACAAAATGGTGGATGAGTCCCACCTCCCACATTTTTTGCGGGCTTCCCATTGGTCCTTTCATTGTCACTCAATCAGGGCTTTTGGTCCCAACTCCCAGCCACTAACCTGTACTTCCTGCTTCACCCAGGTCTACTACCAGAGCTACACAGATCTTACATTTTACTTAAGAATGCTCACCTGTAAATACTAAGGAAAGATATCTTTTTCAGGCAAAATCTGATTCCACAGGCTTCTACGTTGCCCTAAGCCTGATTTGCCCTCAAAGCTAAATAACTTGATTTTTTTTTTTATCCCTTAACAGCTTCCTTTAAAATCCTTCTTTTTTGAAGACACAAATTGGGTGTCAACTACTTTATATACCAACTGAGATATGAAAAATTGTGCTCTATATGTGTAATAAGAATTGTAATACATTCCACTGTCATGTATTTAAAAAAAAATAAAATCAATTAAAATAAATAAATAAATAAAATCCTTCCTTTTCCTCTTTATGGTTGTTACTAAATAATGTTACATTGATGAGAGATCATTCATATGCTTATTGAATTTTGCTTTTAATTTTGGAGATTATGAGGATGCATTTTCTTGCCACAGGTACAAAAGCCAGCATCATGAGATCTTTTCTCACAATGTTCCTATAACAACCAAGAAATCCTCATTCTTCTCATTCCTGACTATATAATTATAAAAAAAAGAGTAAATGTATACACAAGGATTTTATTTTAACCACATCATGTGATGTCATTAATATAAAAAGTGCACTACTAGTCCAAGGTAAAATAAATGGATCCAAATACTTTGAAGAGCCACATGGTTTGATGAGACTTATTTTAAAATTCCATGGTTATATAATAGTAACTTATACCTTTATTTTTAATACATATCTTTCCAGTTATTTGGATAATCTATAGTCCTTAATTCATAGAATAGTTAACATATATGTCTATTTGTTTAATTAATATGTATCTATTTCCTTCAGCAGAAAACACATAATTTATATTTCTTATACATGCATTTATCCGATGTTCTGCTTTTTATAGTTACAGATATTTAAGATAAATGTATTTTACTATAAAATACCTATTTCAAAATATAATACAACCATCAAATAATCTCTAATTCTCAAATTATTGTACAAATTTTTATAAGATGGTAAACAGAAATGATTCTGTCAACAAAAATGTCTAATTGCTGTACCTATATTTTCACTGAGATATTTCTTCTTATCAAGATATAATAATATGTTTAGATTCTAAGATTTATATAAATGGTTCCAAAGTATAACCAAGAAAAATTCTAAAAGGACAAGAATATACTTCCACAGAGAGGAAGCACACCTTGGAGGTCCTAAGAAGAAGAAAGAAATCATCTTTGGGTAAAACAAGGTCTTTATGTTCTAGATTTTAATGATTAAAAACAAATTTCTAAATAAGGAAATCCTTATATCATTATCTTTATTTATTTATTTTTTAACATGATTTCTTTCTCTTTTTTTTAAGAGAGAGAGAGAGAGAGAGAGAGAGAGAATTTTTTTAATATTTATTTTTTAGCTTTCGGCGGACACAACATCTTTGTTTGTATGTGGTGCTGAGGATGGAACCCGGGCCGCATGCATGCCAGGCGAGTGCGCTACTGCTTGAGCCACATCCCCAGCCCCCTTATATCATTATCTTGACAGATGATATAGAAAGTTAAAATAATTGAAAAACAGATTTATGTACAACTGGATTGACTATAATAATTTGAACTGATTAATTCTAGGATATTTCAGACTTTCCCCCCCCAAATTTTATTATACTAATATGAACCAAGATTTTTTTCCATATTTTGACATGATAAAGACCTATTAAAATGTTCTTTATTTCCATTAAGTAAGGCCTTTATTTGCCTAGTGATTCTTGTTAAGACAAGGATTAATTTTAGTGAATAAATTCACAATCTTGATTAAACAATAACATTTTAAAATGCTGACTTAAATTCCAATTTTGACACTTTCCCTTGGAGGCTAAAATTGATTGATTCAAAGACATCATTGGATGTTTATGGGATTTAGGAGAACATTTTATTAGGATTGGTGTTCTCCAAATTAAAGTAATACATTAGTTTTGAATAATAAAAATTCTAAACTTTGTTGGAAATTCATTTGTAGTATATAAATTTTCTAACTGGACCTATAATCCATGAAACATTGTAAGACTTGTATATTGCTCCCTACACTGGGAAGTAATCTTAATCATATTTTCTTTTTTTTAATATTTATTTTTTAGTTGTAGTTGGACACAATACCTTTATTTCACTTATTCATTTTTATGTGGTGCTGAGGATTAAACCCAGGTCTCGCACGTGCAAGGCGATTGCTCCTCCGCTGAGCCACAACCCCAGCCCCTTAATCATATTTTCTAGAAGACAATTAAGAGACACCTATTGGGGCTGGGGATGTGGCTCAAGCAGTAGTGCACTTGCCTGGCATGAGTGCGGCCCGGGTTCAATCCTCAGCACCACATACAAACAAAGATGTTGTGTCCGCCGAAAGCTAAAAAATAAATATTAAAAAAATTCTCTCTCTCTCTCTCTCTCTCTCTCTTTAAAAAAAATTAAAAAAGAGACACCTATTTAAAGGATAGTATTCTGAAATATAGAGATATTTTGAGACCTTCTCTCAGGAAGAAATGAGGGTTCCTTTTAAAATTGTTCATTTACACATAATATCAAAATGAACCAACTAGTCTATATACTAAAAAATTACAATGGTTAATAAAAGATGTCTCATTTTCATATCTAGTCTCAATTACTACTAACAGAGAAGGCCTTAAAAAATTACCTACTAGGAAAAAAGATCAAAGGGGACCTAGCAAACTTAACATAGACCAGAATAAATTCAGGGAGATTTTCAAGAGAGCCAAGTTCATGTATTGAAATATTTCAAAATTTATGCCAGATACCTAACCCTATCTACAGAGATATTATGCTATTATTTATGTAAACTTTAAAATAGAGGACCATCTTAAAAATGGTTTTAAAGGAGATTTATCTTAACCATGTCCCAATAACACAGAATAGGAACAAAACTAACAGTCTATCTGAAGCACAGACAACTCCCCCAAATTTATTAATATCCAACAGGTATACAGAATACCTAAAAAATAATTTTAGAAAGCCTTTATAAAAATCCTACTATTTTCATAGAGAGATTTAAAGAGACAATACAGCACCTTAAACTTATAGGGGGCCACTCGTTTTCAAAAGTTAGCCCTCATCATTCCAAGGGATCTACAGAGGTTAGTTAACATAGTCAAGTTTGGATATTACACCATAGTTGAATGGAGACCAATGAAGGAAAGGAAAGGTAAACATACAGACAGGAAAAAAAATTAAAATACTAATCTTACCCCAAGACAAATAAACCTTCTGGTTAAAAATTTTACTTCTTTTCTAAGTTATAAACAGATTTTTGGAAGCCTCTAAACATGGAAACAGGGTCTTAACTTTGAGCCCCTGTCAACAGTTTGTCACTGAGGAAAACAACCCTAAAAATAGTTACCCCTAAAATATTAGACAGACAGCCATAAATAAATCAGCTCAACAGCCGATAGCTTATTTTAATAAGAAATTTAACATGATAGAGCTTTTCTCAACATTAATAATATTAGATGATGCCTTATGTACATTGATATTTTTGAAATTGGTAAAACCATAAATTATACATAATTATTAGAGCTAATTTTACTACATTAAATAAAGTTATTAAGGATGCTCATAAAACTGTTTCTTTATACACAAAGATTATTTTGACATGAGATCCCTAAAAATGTTATTACTAGCTCAATGTTATATAAAATTCTAAATTAGATCACTGTCTTAATATTGTTGACTTGTTTTTACCCATTAATATTTGGGATATTAACTCCCTACACTTAGGTCAACACTAAGTTTGATAACAACAATGACAGTTTTTCATGGATTCATAGATTAAAAAAATTCATTTCTCTATTTCATTCTTTATTAATGGTTAAAAAATCTTCTCTAGGCTTATTTAACATATGTACTTCCTATTTTAGATAGATGTCTATATTTTTCTCATGCCCACCACTCCTAAGTTATAAACTCTTGACTCCATTCATTCCAAATTAAAATAGCCAATTGGAGTTCATCTGAAGCTAATTTCAAAATATAAATTTTTATTATATTCTTCATTTTTAGTGATTTTATTAAAGTCAAAAATTAAATCATACATTAATAAAACAGGTTTCTAGTCACCATAGTCCCTCTCCAACTCACTGATGTTGGACTTAACATAGCTAGTAGATGACTTTTGTCAAAATTCAGAACAAACTAAGTATGGTAAATCTTTTCTTATTATGCAAATATTGTACTATTATCTATAACTTTAATGACTTATGCCAGGACTTTGCTCAATTTTATTAAATTTTTTAAAAAGTGGGGGAAACAGGACCCCCCCCACACATAATAGATCTTACATAGTATTTTTAAAATTTTTCTTAATTTTGATACTGAGAGTCTT